ATTGAACAGATATAATATCGGCACTGCAACACGCACCCATATTACATATAGAACGAGATAGCTCTCGTTCCTGGCAGTACCATAAAACTTTCAACGTTGCATAACGGGTCTCTAGCAGACCTAAAAGGTCAGTAAAATATATATACATTTAATTAATCAATGGCATATAGGCAACATGTAGGCAATATATAAAACTTAATTTGTATAATTAAAAATGGCAATAGTTCATAGTGAGACGAACAAGAGATTGATGAATGTAAGTTAAAGCAAGAGATAAAATCAGGATTGTGTAACGTAGCGGCAGATAGTAATTGGGATCCAAAGGAGTGAAGTGTGCATAATAATTACCTAAAAATAGCAAATAAATAACGAACAATAAATACCTACTTGCACACCAAACCAGTAAATGCCCACTCAACTCGTTGAGCATCACCATTTCATTCATGCTTTCCTAGTCGCCTTTAGTATCAGATGTTCACCCGTATGCACATAATTAAAAAGCGCTGTGTATCCTTTTGGACAGCAAAAATGACGTCATAGCCGTGGTATTTGTTAGCGAAAATGTATTTTTTGTAATTACAGCACTTAAGAGACTCATCCTTATCTTACCGCCGATACCAGACAGGATGTGGTTTAAAAATAACCTGTAAATAATGCATTCAGATATCTTACTTACTTGTTAAAATAGAGAAGATCATATTAAAGAAAGATAGGATGCTGCATTTTCCGTGCCGCCAGTCGAATTATTTATTCAAACCGCTGATAACAAAAAGTTCATGAAACAGCTCTTAACCTATCAATATCTGCGAAGGTGCTGTAACCCTGGTACAAAGTAACAAAAAGTTCGTCTTCGTTACAGTAGAGCAGGGGTTCCCAAACTTATTTTGTCTACTGCCCACTTTGAGAATAAATTATTTTTTAGCGCCCCCATTTTTTACCTACTTAAAAACCACTAACTTCAAATTAAATTAACTATTGAGAGCTATATTAGCGGAAATTAAACATTCATTCTAAACGAGACTTTTACTAATAACCCGCAAGAGTTAACTTGAGACTTTGAGCGCAATAAGGTAATACACAACGGCGCTTAAGGTCTCAAGTTAACTCTTACGGGCTACACCTGCCAATGAGAATGATAATTGAAACGCAACTTTATAGTATTCGGACAGAGTATCTTTTATTAAAAATAAAACAAACATAATCGATTCTAATATAAAAACTAATGTGAACGATGGAGTTTGTTGATATCAGGTTCCAATTTACTCAAGAACGGCCGCAAGTCACCACGTTAAAATGCAAAATGCAAACGATTTCTCTTTTTAGTAAGCAGCGTTGTCACAGCACTTTAGTGGTTTACCACGTTCACACAAATATGACGATGGGAATGCTATCAAGAATCGTTGAACCTGCAGACTTGTTCCCTGAACGTTATAACTTGGACCTTTTCAAGGCGAGAGTCAATAGGCATTATTTAGGTGTGCATACTCCATCGTCGACCTCATCGTCACTTTCCATCAGGTGAGATGGAGGTCAAATGCGCATCTATATTTTACATAAAAATAACTTGATTTTTATTTCCTCGTTCGTTGTCAATTCTATAAGTTCTTCATCCAGCTGAGGTTATATATATCGCGTTGACATTTGAAAACGGATCATGGACATTTATTATTTTAATTAAATTTAGTACATCGCCTTGTAGTTGGAGATTCATGTCGTTGAACAATTTATATAGGTCTGTCATGTAAGCTATATCATTCTTTGATGTAATGAGCTTGTTGCGCAATTCTGTATCTTTATTTTCCAAGAACTCTATGACAGAGTCAAACAGGTAGTAAAATTGAGTCAGACAATTGCCTCTTGATAGCTAACGAACTTCAGTATGAAACAACAAACGGTTGAAATCTTCGACATTAATAACACAAAGCTGATGAAATAATCTATCATTCAAAGAGCTGTTACAGATTTTATTGACTGCTTTTATGACATATTGCAGTGATTGAAATAGTCGTTCACTTAAATTTCTAGCAACCAAATGTTGTCTATGAATAACGCAATGTACAGCAAGGACATCTGGAATTTTATTTTTTAATTACGCTATGAAGCCTTTATAACCCTTTATAGCACCCTGTCATAGCCGGAGCGCCATCCGTAGCAACTGATATAATATTTTTCAAGGGAATCTCTTTCTCATCACAAAACTTTTCGAATGTATTGAATATGATGTCACCTTTTGTATCGGTCTCTAAATTTCCAGCAAACAATAGTTCTTCACATATTTTCTCATCTTTAATAAACCTCACGTAAGACAGCAACAATGCTTCATTGGTTGGTAAAGTGGACTCATCGAGCTGAATTGAGAATTGACTAGTCCACAGATGACTGCACAATGATTCTTCAATGTTTTCAGCTATTTCATTAATTCGTCTTTGCACAGAATTATTACTCAAAGGAATTTTTCGGATAATATCTGCGGCCGGTTTATGAAGCACAGTAGTTATTACTTCCTTAATTGCTGGCAAAATTAACTCTTCTCCGATATTGTGTGGTTTGCCTATTGGAGCAATTAACAAAGAGATATTGTACGAAGCTCGAAGTTCGTCGTCATCTTGCTTAGCAACCGCCGAAAAGAGTTTTGCTACACTTAGTTGAGTATTATGCTTCTTCTCTAGGTCTTGAAAATATGCTATATTCTTGTCTTTCTTGAATGGATGCATTTTATTCAAATGATCTTGCAGTCTTGAAGATTTCAGTGCTTCATTCGAAAATGGTTTTAGACAGAAGGCACAAAGGTGACGATGGGTTTGTGAGATTTACAATGAATCCAAATTTAATATATTCCGCACAGTATTGCCGTCTCTTCTTTTTTACTTCCGATATTGTTGTATTGAGAAATACGTAAGTAAGTGTTGAACTTAAGTACTGCTAATAGATAACTATTACTTAAAATAAATATTACGTTGTTGTTGTTATGACTGCATAAGCAGCACGCACCGACAGGAATAAGACAAACATGCGTAAACTCGTTTATCTCATTCGACGATCAATCGTACGCAACAAGTAAGAACAAGTACTCTATGAACCAGCCGATTGATACAGGAATGCACAAATCGGGTTATTCTCCTGCATCCTGTAAGCCTTCCATACCTTCTTTTTTGGACCATCTTAATTCTTTTAGTACTAAGATCCAATTTACTATGGAACAAGAGAATGGAGCAGGAGTTTACAAGCTTGACTGTGAGTGCGGTCTCTCTTATATTGGACAAACAAAGCGAAGTATTTGTACCCGCGTCAAAGAACATATAGCTGATGTCAAACACCGTCTCGTAAACAAGTCTGCAGTCTGCGAGCATGTCATGGATAAACCTACACATTCAATGAAGTTTGACAAACCCCAGGTCCTTGCAAAAGAAGTCCGTTATCTACCCAGGATGCTGCGAGAGGCCATTGAAATTAAAAAACATTCTAATTTCAACAGGGAAAATGGTTCCAGTATTTCCTCTAATGAAAAATCCCAAACAGACATAAGACTGCAGTACTAATTAATATGATTTAGTTTATTCTAATTTATATTAATAATTAATAATAAATTGAACTTAATAAAAATTCATTCAATAAAATAATTTGTAAAACTTAATGTAGCGTAAATTGGAACGTTTTCTTTGTAAAATTAAAAATAAGGTATTTAATTAATAACTATTGTAACTATAGTGAAAAAATAAGGTGGTTTGCATCAATATTAGACATAACTGGTTGAAGACTGTACCACCTCAGTCAACCGTGACCATGGGACCTGTAAAGAGCCCGAAACGTCGGTTTGTTTGAAAAAACAAATATACGCGTTTTAAATCCGGAAAAATAGTTTTATTTCCTATGTGTAACAATCGCGAAAACCTAAGAACTCAATATCCTTCAAATTAACGCTATATATTTATTCTATATGACCACCTATAAAATACTTCAATAAAATACCGGGTGCGTTTTTCATACAAAACTGATCGATCACTTCGTGGCACACATTTACATACATAAGGTTATATTATTTCACTTGTCTCCCACTGGGATAGGCCCACAGATAAATATATATAGGCCCCCTCTTCCATTAGTGCCCTTTCGATCTTTGTTAATCTGATCCGTCTGATTTGTGAATCTGATTCTGAGGTTCATATTCCAGAACTCTACTCAATGCTCAAGTCAGGATTTGAGCAGACTTGAGTATGATTTCAAGCACTGGAAATACGACCTTAATGGCAAGAACTTGAGTATGATTTCGAGTGCTTTAAACCATACTCAATTCCTGACTTGAGCATTGAGCAGAGTTCTAGAATACGACCCTGAGTGTGCGTTGTTAATCTGATTGAGATAAGTTCGCGGTCTATCATTTCCCACGCCTTCATTCACATTGACTCTAGTTTGACCGTCAATCTACCAACATTGTTTTTCTCTACATCCAAATCGAAAAAATCTATGGCCAAACCATCGAAGCAAGTCTCTATCAGGTGGTCACTACATAATCTTTCATACCACCACGCTCTCTTACTACACTGTTTGGCATATCTTTAAGACTAATACAAAGACTTATTCGGCCCAAAGCAAAATCCACTCTATAACCGAAAATTTGTCTCATTATCGCAGTCTTCCAACCCTGACGTTGGTGAAAACGACAGAGCCATATCCACATATAACTTGATTGGGCATTTAGCGCTTTTCCTACTATAATTTGGTGAATCTTACGAGGGTTGAATGTACTCTATCTACAGTGAAAATACGATAGAGTAGTTTCTTATCCGGTCTACGTAGAAATCTTTGATTTTACAGAAAAGTAAAGGTCACCACAAAGTTCCTTATTCACAATCAAAAATAATTGTTGTTTTATCAGAATATTTATTAGTTATCTGTCCTCCAATGTCATATGTATTTATTATTTAGACTAACAAATTTTTTTTCGAAAGACTTAATATTAATATACAAAACGAAACTGATACTACTGAATTACCTGATTTTTGCTATAAAATGTTGACAATTCATTAAATTATTCACATTAATGTGATAGATTAAATAAAATAAACAAAACACAAACTCTTGAAAAAACACAAACTGTCAACTAATCTAACCTTTAACTTTCTAAAAACGCGCTAAGAGGTATTGTAAAATTATTGAGTTAGATCTTATGTCTTTGAATGACTATATAAACATTTATGTCGAAATTAAATATAGCCACCATACTTAGGATAAAAAACATCGTCAGCCTTTTCTGCCCATAAATAAATAGGTGTAATGGAAGCCATAACTAAAAATTTACACAAGGTAAACATGCGTTATGACCGATAGTAGCCCTTATTAAAGGATAAAAATACGTTTTCAAAGTAAATAAAATTAAATGATTAATTTATTATTGCTACCAACTCTAAAGACTTGGCCGCGATCGGGACTAAAGAAGCTAAAAAATTAGAGTTGGTAAAAATTATTATAAGTCTTGCCACAAAAACTGGCACGATGGCTGCGTAAATTGTACATTTACACTATTCTGCTTTATACTCTATGGTCTTACATGTACACACTTTGTTATAAAACATGTTTATGAACACATATGGTATTATTTTTTCACATCCAGTGTAAAGTTAACGTTAGCCCGTCGCGCAACAACTTTAGGCAGACAAAACTTAATTGTATAACAAAAATATTACACACCAAATTAAAAAAGGCCCTAATATTGATTCCACGGAACATTGTCAATGGCATGCTTCTTTAATTTGTGTTTTTTGAGGTATTTGGAATCTATGAAAGCTTCTCCACATAACGTACATGCATATGGTCTTTCACCAGTGTGCGTTCGAAGATGTACAACAAGATTGCCTTTTAGTGCAAAGAATTTCATACAAACTGAACAACCAAATTTCTTTTCCCTTGTATGTGTGAGTTGGTGAGTTCGTAGGTGGGTTTTTGTCTTGAACCGGAGTGAGCACAAGGCGCATGGATACGGTCTCTCATTTGTATGGACTCGTTCGTGCATAATCAACATAGCTTGGCTTGAACAACTCTTTCTGCAGACACTACATTCAAATCGTTTGGCGTTCCGTTGTCTGTAATTTTTGTGGCTCATCATATGACTTTGCATTTCCTTTTTAGAAGGCAATACTTCTCCACATTCAGAACAGAGCAATTCAGATGGATCAACCATGTGAGTGCTTTCCACATGTTGCTCTAAAGCAGTTTCAAGTGAAAACATCTTCTTGCACAGAGAGCAAGCATAACCCAGCAGTTTCCCAAAATTAGTTGTTATTTCCTGCTTGACTGTCTTCATCAATTCTTCCTTCACCTTCTTAACTTTAGATTTTGAGCATTCATCAGATTCCTTATGACTTTGTATTGCAGTTTTATTTTCAAATGTCATATCACATTGATTGCAAGCAAACGGGTTCATGTGTGTGAGTCTATGAGTCTGCATTGTAATCTTTTGATGGAAACGTTTCAGGCATATATCACACTCAAATTCCCTGATGCCAGAATGGATCATCATGTGACGTTTCAAATTGTTCGGATTGGCAAATGTTTTGGAGCATAGGTCACATTTTGGTTTAATGTTATTGTGTCCATATTTGATATGTTGGGTTAGAGCATTTCTTCTGATTAATTGGTGACAGAAAGGACATGTTACCAGCAATCCTGCTACATTATGTAGTAACATATGACCAGTAAGAATCTCGGCGGACTCAAAGCCTTTTCCACATAAGTTGCACAGATGTTCTCCAGCTGGATTGTGCTTAAATTGATGCTTCTCATATTCAGATAGGTCTTGAAATTGTTCTCCACAATCACATAAGAATGAACCATCTTCCTGCTTAAGTACTGTAGCTATTTGGTCACTATCAGTATATTCAATCACTAATTCTGAGCCGTCACATTTGAGAATTTGAAACTGTGAAGTATCATCTCCTTCACAGAAAATTACTTCTTCTTGACCCATGGGATCCCCATCATCATCATTAGTGATCAGTTGAGTGTCAGTAGTCAGATACTGAATCCCATCTTCTCCTTTTAAGAAAATTGTACCATCTGCACCTGTGGTCAGAATTTTAATAATGCTGTTTTTCTCTGGCAATGTGTTAACAATGTCTGTTATTTCTTGTACCTCAAGACAAGCATCTTCTGAATCCTCAATATGTGGCAGATTTTGGTCTTGAGAAGTGCTGTCTTGACTCTCATCAATGTCCATAACATTGTCAAATTGTGAATCTTCATTCTCAGGACTTTCTTCTTCATTTTCGAGGATAGTAGCTGGTACATTTACAGGAACCCTGTTGTTGGATATCATAAATGATTCATAAGAATTTTCAAATGTGTTCATTTTTTGACTATCCTCATTATGGTCTCTAATTGGTTCCTTTTCAGTTATGTCTTGTATAAGTTCTTCTTTTATAGTAATCATTTCTGGTTCATTGCTCAACTTCTCTTTATCTTTAGGATCATCAATGACAAGTACATAATAATAATCTTCATCGCTATCTGTTGGTTCTTTCTTCATAATTGACTCCAGTTGCTTTATTGGGTTGCTAGCAAAATCTTCTTCTGAATTTGTAGTTTCATCTTGAATGTTTTGTTCTTGGTCTTTCTTATTTGTTTGTTTAAGTAAAGATTCAAGTTGGAGCTTGAGTTCTGCATCCATCTTGATGCACTGTCTTCTGAACTGACTGGCTGAATTCAGAACTGCAAAGCACTCTTCACAAAGCCGCTGTGGCAAACCATCATTCTCGTTAACCTAGAATGTGAAAACCACAAACGGTGAGATTATTTCTGAGTTATGCATGGTTTTGAATATATATTACTAATCCGAAATATATAGTAAGTGACAGGTGACTGCAGTTTGGAGATAAATGCTTGTATAGATGCTGGTATTAAATGTTTAAAATATGGGTGCAACATGTAAACGAGTGTCACTGGTCTACCAGTAAAGTGGCTTGAGGTGTGAGTTTTTTTATTATTATTGTTAATTATTTTAGATTCTGGCAGTATTCCTCAGCAATGGCACAGTCAGCCTAGGTCAGGGATTTAAGGTCAAGAACTGGCAAACTGTGATCATAATTATTATGAACAAGAATAAAAAATAATTCTTAAATGACTGGATACATATTTAAGGTACCATATCAATTACCTATACCTTACATCTTAAACTCAAATAGCATTATTCTGCCATGCTTATGATAAGAACAGTAAGTCTCTATGTATTTCAAACATAGTGTTAATTATGTAAGTATTGCAGTATTTTAGGCTTTTTTAACTTTTAAGTTATTAAATAAGTTATCACTCATATTTGAACATGATTAATGCTAAAATAACATAGAGTTATAGATCAGACTGAACCAAATCAGAAGGCGGCATTATGAAAACAAAAAAAGAAATGTGTCACTTTTAACCAACTTGAGAAAAAGGGAAGGTTCGTAATTAAACTATATTTTGTATGTTACGCGATTAGACAGTGCTTCCATTCAAATTTGAAGATAATATTCACCTCTAAGGATGGCTAAATAGGGAATGAATCCAGTTTATTGGGTTTCACTCACTTTCCATTAGCCAATTGCAATAAAACTTGGCAAACAGATGTAATTACAATAAAAACAAAATGTTATGGTGACCTAGAGCCGATCTGATGATGGAAATGGCAAACAGATGAGAGAAACTTCTCAAATGTATAGACCATCTATCTACCCAGCGTTTGGGTTCAAACGAATCATTTTGATGACTTCCATATCCATTTCAGTTATAGTTGAGGAGACAGCGGTAACGAACTCTGCGGATGCGTACAAGTACACTTTTGGAGGTCAGCTCTATTTTATAAAAAAAATAAAATTAATTTACATAAATTACTTTTAATGCTTGTTTCCAAAATTTTACACATAAATCAAAACTTTTTATTGTACATAACTTTCCTCTACAGCCCAGTTACCGAGAACGGCGGCCAGCAAGATGTTTACGATGAGGCCAGCATTTAGCAAAATTTGTATGCTCTTAAATGATTACAATATCCTAAGTCCTATTTCATAGCCTCCTTTGTTTCAGTTCAAAGTAGTTATATCACTAAAGCCAAGAGAAATTGAATAAACATTTAAACTACTTTTTCTTTTACTTATAGGTTATGTTTCTGACATCACGGCGATTATATTGTATCGTGTTAATTACATTGTACATTTATCACATAAAAGGGCGTAAAGTAAATTACGCACAAAGACAAATATATACATTTAGAGAACATACCAGTATAGTAGTGATTTCATGAAACTTCTGCTTCACATTTAATTCTTCGTTATTAAACGACACTTGCGATTCCGGTGAGAGACAGCATCGACAGAGGCTTGACCAAGAATCCATTGCAGCATACCACCTCCCTCGTTAATATTCCAGGAAAATCCTGGAAAATATACGCAGAAATTCGGATCCATTGTTTTACAATTATACACAATAAATCACAGAGCACTTCGAAGATTCCAAAGAGTAAAATTATCTACGGACCTTGCCATAAATACGATCTATTGAGAAAATTATAGACAAGAGACAAGCGCATAAACAAAATGGCGGTAGATGGTCGGTTTCATCCAGATGGAACGAACGAAACGCGCGACGACCTAAAGCGCTTGCTTAGCGGTACTTTAGTTGGCGTCATGCGAATTGCGAAGTAATTTTTTTAACCTACCGGGAATGAAGTAAGTAGGTTTATACGGAATTAGAATAAAAATGTTAAATAATAATTTGAAAATTGCATGAGATTGCGTTATATGAAATGCTAGCCTTGAAAATGGCGTTCAAAAAGCAATTGACAGCAATTCATAATAAGACGACGGAACGTCTATTTTTTTATGGAAATGTAAGTGCGCACCTGGCATGTAAGTAGTAATTAATCATTATTTCTCTCAATAATCTGACCATAATTCCGATGTTACCTATTAAAAGTACGTACTCCTGTGTAACATGCATTGGTAATAAATATAAATAAACATTTATACCAGCAGAAAAGTAACTTAGATTTTTTTAACGAATAATAAAAATTATTTTATTTGACATTGTATGTACCTATGTGTCGAATAGCCAATGGAAAAAAAGGAAACCTGCCGGTCATTTTAATCACCGGACTGAGCTAGAAAAGAATAGAATCCTCTAGGTATCTCTTTCTATCAAATAGAAAGAGAATGAACACAGTAGGCGTGACATGACATCGAAACCAGAATGCTACGTGAATAAGGGGTTTTTACTGTTCGAAAGATTTATTTAAAAAATCATAGATGTCGCTGTCTGAGCACATTTGCCATAACATTTGCCTTGACATGAATCTCGTGAATAGTCGACAATATTTGTTGTTTTGCGAGATTATTGTAAGAGTGATGGCAGCCCAGTGGGATAACTGTTGCTTCTCTATTGAGAGGTCGATGAGGCGTCATGTGAATTAATGTAACTATGATTTTAATATAATTATAATATTTCATGCTATCAGTGAAGGGAAACACTGAAGAACCTATACATTGAAGAAGGTTCACAGGAACGTTAATATTATTTATTACACAGTCTTTTCAAAACGTGCAATGATCATGAACCTATCATGAGGTTGCTAGGTAAAAGATCTGACAATGATGTTAGGTGTTAAAGTGAACTGGTAGTTTCGTATGATTGCCAAAGATGGCGTTGTATTCTATAAGGAGAACGGAGATTATACGAATAATATAAATATACAAATTGTTATATAATAGCACCAAAATTAAATTTTTTAGTAACAGATACAAAAAGAAAGAAATATTTTCTTTTCAAACCTAAACTTTAGCTTTGATTGCAACACTGTTGCTGTCGTCCTAAACATTGCGTATGGTTGGTAAGGTACATATTTTTTATAAATATTTCTAGGCAAACGCCTCCCATATTTCCTCCCATCACTATTCGATATAAAGCTATAGGGAACATGGCGATAGGGAACAATGATGGGCTGTCCCATTATCATCATCTTAGCCCGTTAAGTAGAGTCTAGCCTAATGAAAATTAACGATGATAAAAAATAAATCCTTTTTACCAGGAAAAGTTACGCAACAATTACTGATGTGAGTTTAAATACTAAAGATCTCACCAAAATATGTAGTTCCAAACGGGACTATTAAGTAATGGGGCATTAAACTATATCTTCCTTCCATCTTTGCTTAGCAACATTTTTTTTCTGAAATTTTCCCTTTCGGTACATTGTTTCGAGCAAGAGCTTTAAATAACGTAATTTATATTGAATAGAGTGACTATACGCAACTGAGAATTTTTAGATGATCGATGGACCACCGCGACTGTCAATCAACACTTGGAAAGTGTCGTCTCATCGTATGGGTCTTACGCTATATTTACCTCTACTAGTTTTCTTTTCTACGTAAAATACACCTAGGATGTTGCATAATTGTATGCATTTTGTTAGCAGTGTGAAGAATTAAGTTTTGATATGCTCATTCCAAGATATTTTCAATAAAATTGAGAATGAATATTGTGTAATAACTGATTAGCACATGGCCGCCTGTTGTATTTCATTTCTTTGTGTTCTGTTGTATTTATTTCCTAAAACACACGTGGAATTCATGTTGCTGCTTTGTATTAAGTATATAGTAAAGAAAAGAGTAATTTCTTTTTCATAATACCAAGTGAAAGACGGGATAAACCAGTTGTGTTCCTGGTGGTAAGCGACACGCCTATCCATAACAGTTGCAGTACCATTTAGAGCTTTACATTGCAAAGATCTGAGGGGCACTGCCACTGCACCCGTCACCTCGAGACATAAGTTGACAAGTCCCATGTGCCTGTAATTTCACCAGCACCCTTCAAAATAGGAACGCAGTGATTTCCACATTATTGCTTGGCGGCAGAAATAGGTAAGGTGGCAGTACTTCTTTTGACTAAATCTTTCACAAGAAGCTCTGCTGCTGCTGCTAAAAAATGTAGCCGAATAATTTCTGCTGCTGCGCGCGGAATTTCGCTCGATACCACACGACAATTTAAATTACATAAACATACTTTTACGTTGATAGCTTGTTCCGTATCGAAGTTAACCTTCTCCGCGCGCGTGATTCCGTGCTTCCGCGACGTTGCCACGTTGACGCGTAATTTTGGCAACGTTGCGCGCGTGGAAGGAATGTGCGCCGCCCCGTGCCGATGCCGCCGTAGCCGAGTCCATAGAACGCGCCATTTTGTCGCTGAATTCCGCTCGTCAGAGTCGTGCTGTTAATTTTGCGTCCTATTGTTTTCAAATCTTTCTCAATATGATGATGATTGATACTGAAAGGTTTTTAGTTGAGATACAGTCACGTGAATGTATATGGAACCCAAAAGTTAAAGAATATTCCATTAAAAGTGAAAGGCGGAGGGCATGGGAGGAAGTTGCGGGAGTTTTCCACCCTGATTGGACTTCATGTACTCCTGAGGATCAAGACAAACTGGGTGAGTAGTTGAGGTACACTACTGACTAAGCCTTACGACCTGACCCGTTTGTAAACAGCAAATTTGAACGCTTTGTAAATGATGTAAGGTGTAATTTTTGATAAACAATTTTGGCACACTGCGTCTTTAGCTCAACACGGTACAATAGAATTACATAATATTACTTAATTAGGTACTTTTATTTATAGGAAATGAAACTATTTTTCCGGATTTACATCGCGTATATTTGTTTTTGCAAACAAACCAACGTTTCGGGTCCTTTACAGGTCCCATGGTTACGGATGACGGTTGACCGTGACCATGAGACCGAGTTTTAATTCGATACTTATATTTAACCCACACTTGTTTTATGCGTATACTAACTTTTGTATCGATCGAAATAGGTACCATTGTTACAAATGTCGTAGAGACAGCCTCGTTTACAAACTTTATTACGATTCTGTGCAAAAAAAACCTACCATGGAGGTACGGTCGGCATCACCTTGAGTTACTATAAATGACGAAATTTATCTTGCAAATTGGCACCTTTATGTCATGTAAATAGCGTTTAGATTAGTTGTTTGAAAAAGTGACAGTTTTTGTAGATGAATGGTGCATAAGTAATTAGTTTCGTCATGCCCATTCTTCCTTATCTGTCGTTGTACAGTCAAGAGCACATCAAGCTTGACACTTTGTACTTTGGACCGTTCTTGTAGAAAGCGGCATAGAGTTGGATTTAACTCTTTAGTGTCAAGCTTGACGTGCTCTTGGCCCTGTACAAGGTCACAACATAGTACGCTCCTTGTTTTTGTAAGACACTCGAGTGTCCAATCTTCATCTACCAATTTATACGTCCCTCTGCTGGGCAGGGGTCTCTACTCGGGCGAGGGTTTAGGCCATGGTCCGCCACACTGGCCCAATTCTTCACACGTTTTCCGAGGACTGTGAACCTTCTTCGACGTGTAGGTTTCATCACGACGTTTTCCTACTGTGAAAAGCTCGTGGTAAATTTCAAATTAATTTCGCACATCGACTCCGAGAATCTCAGAGGTGCGTGCTCGGATTCGAAACCACGGACTCTGGCCCTTAACTGTGCGACGCGGAGGACCCCCTCGACAGACGGTAAAATGTAATATTTTGCCTGTGACGATGCGACCTTCTTTATTGTCATCCCACCTTCTTATCACCCTCTTTGGAGCTTTTACGACCCACATGCCCTTTCTCTTCGAGAATTTTGTTAGGAGTGACTACAGAACGAAGCAGAATAAGAATGACGAAGTAAGGGAATTGGAGAACGATACAAAAATTCTAATTACAAAAGAAAGTGGCCAGGAATCAGAAAAGAGGGCGTTAAAAGGTATATGATAAAACGGCTATGAAGGAGGTCGCATCGTAACAATACCCAGGGAAGAAAAAATCATTTAAATTTTTTTAAAATTTATATACACACAGCACATTGAGTGCGCGCGGTTGTGGAGAGCCATCCATCACATCGCCCACCCGTCCGTTTAGTCTCTAACTCTGACAGTCTCTGCGTGAGAGGCGTTTAAGTCAAACCACGGTCAAACCATTAGCCTACCACGTCTTAATGCCAAATACAAACAAATTAGTTTTTAACATTTGTTATTATGTATGTATCTTATTTAAACTGGAATTCGTAGTCTTGGTATAATAGAGCCACATGTGATTATACGTTAAAAGTACTTATATGGACATGAAAGTCATAAAAATAGCGATAAAACGAGTTATGTACTCACGTGTGAAATTTTATAATTATATTTAGATCTCTGTTTAGCTTTCCTCTGCCTTCATAGAAAAGATAGCTCTTAGCGATAAGGCTGCCTTTTCCCACGTTAGTTTTATGTCGTTTATGCTGGCCCTGTGTCAGACATTCGTCCGAAACTACTATGAAATACGTAACACTCGAACAAATTAAGACGCATGATGCGAATGAAGCTTCATAAATACTTGAATTTGTGTTATAATTTGGTGGAGTATTCCTTATTTCACAGTAATTGTTTCTGACGAACGTCTGACGGAGAATGAGAGTAGAAGCCCCTGTTTCTATTCTTCTGTGTGAGCAATAAAATGTGTACTTATCTATTTTTAAACATAAAGAAGTTATCGACTAATTTTGGTCGTAGAATC